GCAAAACTACAGATCAGGGCAATTCTTTTGACGTTTTAATCATCAAAATCGGTCCAAAAATGAGGGAGGAGTTCTGTTCACAAAAATCGGCTTAGCGTATTATATATATAGATAGATTCGTCAGCTGTTTAATGTTTGTCAGATATTTGTTATTATTTTTATAACCTCACTTTCAGTATGCAATTATTAAACTTGGAGTTTCTGTTTGTAAACACACGATTTTGATCAAGGAAAGTGTATTTGTTAACTTATTTTTGAAACGTTTTAGTTTTCCTGCAAAGTAATCTGAAGGAAAGTGGTAATTGAGTTTAAGTTTGAGTATGGAATATGAAATAATACCCATAGTAGGGAACGGAAACTTATTGTTTTGATCAATATAATTTATTCTCTACGGCCACCAGAATAATCATGGGGAAATCCGCTTGCACGTTGTACATATAATTGCTAATGAGTGGGAAACATACAAACATTTTATAGTAGGTGACGAATCTTACTCAAGATCAGTTTTAGACGTTCAGTGGTACCAAACTTTACCTTCTCGAGATGGCGAGTACGCTGGGATACGTGGAACTACAATATATCAGTGAATTTTTTTTTCAAGTACACAGGGAAGTTGCTTGAGAAACTGTGACTTACCATTTGGTTCTGGCGAAGAAGTATGTGACTTGGTGTTTAATGGCAATGTTGACTCGGGTCATTATAGCGTTATAAAACTTTATCATTAACCCCAGGGTGTGAAAAGTACAAAAAGAAAAAGAAAAGGTAATCATTAACCGGGCATAAAGAGATATAGGTACCGAACGAAAAAAAAAATGTAGAGAACCACCGAACTAAAAATGTAAAGAGCAGTGTTTGTGTTAAATGTGCTCTGGAAGTCCCTACAAAAAAATACCAACTCTTTTGAATTGGGGTCGTTAGATTGGATTTGTCACTACTTCAAATCTATGAATTTTGAGTCAGAACAGACTAACTGGGACACTAAAAATGTTTTAGTTTTCCTGCAAAGTGATCTGAAGGAAAGTGGTAATTGAGTTTAAGTTTGAGTATGGAATGCGAAATAATACCCATAGTAGGGGACGGAAACTTATTGTTTTGATCAATATAATTTATTCTCTATAGCCACCAGAACAATCATAGGGAAATCCGCTTGCAAGTTGTACAGATAATTGCTAATAATTGGTAAACATACAAACATTTTATCGTAAGTGATTAGGTCTAATCTTACTCAAGATCAGTGTTCGACGTCCAAATTTTACCTTCTCGAGATGGTGAGTACGCTGGGATATTTGGAACTACAATTTATCAGTGAACTATACCCTAACTATATTTTTTCGAGTAGGCCTACACAGGGAAGTTGCATGAGAAACTGTGACTTACGATTTTGGTTCTGGCGAAGAAGTATCTGACTTGATGTTTAATGGCAATGTTGACTCGGGTCATTATAGTGTTATAAAACTTTATCATTAACCCCAGGATGTGAAAAGTACAAAAAGAAAAGGTAATCATTAACCGGGCGTAAAGAGACATGCAGAACGAAAAAAACATGTAGGGAACCATCAAACTAAAAAGGTAAAGAGCAGTGATTGTGTTAAATGTGCTCTGGAAGTCCCTTCTAAAAAATACCATTTTTTTTTAAATTGGGGTCGTTAGATTGGATTTGTCAGTACTGCAAATCTATGAATTTTGAGTCAGAACAGACTAACTGGGACACAAATATTTTTCCTTATGTTGTCACAAGGAGAAGGTAAAATGAACTCCTTATCAACATTGTGAGTTTATGGAAAATCTTATCAACAGCGACTATAAAAAAGTATTAAGGGACAAAAAAGACAAAAAACTATTTGAGTAAAATATAATACAAATCTGCATTTGAAATGGCCAGTTCTAAGTCTCACTTGAATCAACATCTTTCTGGTAGTGGTAGTCTACATAGTTTTAAAATCCACGACTCTTTTTCCATCAAATTGGTCCGTTAATCCCCTCTAATATTGAACAAAGTATGCCCAACTTTCAACTTTATATATACGACGTAAACACAGCTTTTACTCACAGTATGGGTCAAAGATTCGTGAAATGCGACCAACTGCTGATGCGTGATTTACATGTAGGCTAAGTGACTATCTTTATTCCATACAACAAATGTAACGAAAAAAACGACGAATATAGGAATATACTTGAGCAAATTATCTAAATAGCATAAATAGCTGCTTATTAGGTTATCAGCATTGCCCAGTTCGTATACTATTTATTTTTCAAATGAAACTCGAATTAATAGAAATCATTCATTTGGTTAAAATAATATTTCGGTTTGATTAACATAAAATAGTTTATACAGGCAAAATATCAGTTCTATTTCATGTAAAAAATTAAACAACCCCTAAATAAAATACAAAGATAAACAGTATTTGTTAATTATTATTTCTTTTATTGCTGACAATATTCCCGTGGCGGAGCACGGGTGGTTAACTAGTGAATCTTTTAAAACACTGTATGTTTTATACTTGTATTTAATTCATATGTAAACCACTAATTGCTTACATTTGTAACAAAACCCCAAAGTTGTTCCTTTTCAGCATTAAAGCTGTGTGTCTAGAAACACGGTGTTTAGCCAGTAAAATAAGATTATCGAAATCCATTGCTTTAATTTTAAATGGACGAGTTGAATGTCAAGGACCCAGTTTTAGGAAGCGACGACGAGGTCGTTTCATTGTTGAATTGGAGCAAGAAACTGAGACCAATCTATTACGTAAATTCCCTGTGGTAGCCTTCTCTTGCCGGGTTTGTATCCCGTTTTAGGGATAATTTTCAACAGCGAGGGATGAAAAGGGATCAAATATGACGATTAAAAAACGCAAAACGAGAATTGTAAAAACCATTTTACAAGTCCACATGTTTGAAATGTAGAATACGACCCATTAGGAACTAAATTTGATGATTTTGTTAAGATAGCAGGCTTCCCTAAATGGGAAAGTGGGCAGAATCTGTGAAAGATTCTATTTGGAGAAGATATTTCTTCGTTACTCAATAATCTTTTTATTGAAAATGCTGTAACAGTATACTATTATAATTTGTGTATTCAGTGGAAAGTTCATAATTGCGGAGGATAGGTACTTATTTTGTTGTTTTAAAAAACAACTACCTATCTATATGGTTTTCTATGTAACACCCCTCTTCCATTAATCTTATCCAACCGATTTTTACAATTGAGGGAACATTTTAAAGCTTATGTTCTAGCACATCTGCGGATGTCAATTAAAAAGGTGATTTTCTATAGGGCTTCGCCCCCTCAAGTTTGATTTATTTCTAGAGTCGATTTTTCAAATATTCAGTGATACCGACGAATATTCTTTATAACTGATTGCATTGTAAATTGCAGTTTAACCGCTGTTTAACCACATTAAATTTTTAACAAGAGAATAAACAGATTACGAAAATGTATTTTAAATATGCTTTTTGTGCTGTAACCTGATTGAGGCAGGTAAATCAGTCTCTATAGTTTAAATACAAAATAAACAAAATTATTGAAAATTATTAGTTCTATTCACCTAATAACTGTTATAAGAAAACAAATAATCTTGCAAAGGTAAATGGACATTGCACTGGATTCATTTTGCCTCGGCAACGAGTTAGTTTTGGACAACTGCGCAATTTACGCACGGGTACCCTTGATTTTTTACAGCAACGCTACCTGTGGATGCCTGAATGAACTACGTACTGCATTACCGACTTACCACTGAAATGTTGTTTGTAATCTTGTATTTTTCTACCAAATAGTAAAGTGATCACAGTAACACTACTTTCTGTAAAATGCAAGAATACGTGTGCGTAAGTGGTAACTTTCCGTAAGTAAATACAAGTTAAAATCGGAAAAAATAATAGAACTAAAATTAAATAATAAAATATTCTAAAGAATAATAACTTCGGTACCCAATTAGCATGATTTATTTTACCACAATAACTATTTTTGGTTATAATTGCCATAATGGCGTTATCAAAACCCGCATAACAAACAATAATAATTTAAGTACCCAACATAAGTAATAATGCGTTCGGATTATTTTTGAACCACTTGTGTAAATTTGTATTTTTTCTCTTTCCGATATCATGTATATTTTATACACTTTTTAAATACGTTTGGGTTTGTTTAACAAATAATTACTTAACAATTACGGTTGTTTATAACAATTACGTTGGGGTGAGTATAATTGTTATTAATTATACTATAAAATAATGAATTTGTTGTTACTTGTATAATAAGTAATCTTAAAGGGTTTATGAGATTTAATTCAATTTTTTAAAGGAGTTTATTTAAAATACCATTAAAAAAGTGCTTAGATTCCAAAATTGTAAATAAATATCCAATATAAAACCTAAACACAAATTATAAAAACAGAAACCACTTTTTATAAACTCGTGTCAGTGGACAGAACCGGTTAAAGTGCAAATCACGTTCCAAAAATTGACAGATGGACAGGCATTTCAATCAGGACATGTTTTAAAACGAACATGTTTATGAAGTGTTAAGAGGTCCGAATGTAGGATTTACGATCAATCAACATTCAAGGATGCACAAGCGACAGGACACGGTCAAGGCTGATCAGCTGATTGCAACAATGCTCTGTCTGCATCAATCAGATGTTATTATTTCATCTGTTTGATTGGTCACTTGATTATTTGTTTATTGATGTGTGTCTCTTTTTCTCGATGGTGCACAATTAATTGGTGTGTTTTTTGAGAGTCACATTCTAATACTGATATACATTCACACCATTAAGTTATTTTATCTAATTTGTTATGTATTTTTATTTAAGTGAATTTGTTTGTTTGTTTTATTAAAAGTTAAATGGCAGGGAAGATTTAAAATTGTAAAATTCGTCTCGTCTAAGGTATTTCCATGCAATTAGATGTATTTTATTTGTCATTGGGAAATAACACTGCACATTTATCTTAAAAAAAAACCGTAAAATGGTGTAAAAATACCGATGCCATTTATAATTTGGACATCAATTAACGAACATATATTACAACAAAGGTCGACATTTGAAAGTAACAAGACCCAGATTCAAACAGATCTCTTGCAAAAGACTTAAAGCTGTGTTAAAACACAAAATAAAAACTGATAAGCTCTTAAGTTGGCCACCCTGTGAGATAGCTGTGTACCATTCTGGGAGATTTACAGGTAGATACACCTGAAGAAGGAGGGAGTGAAGTTACAAAAGGCGGGCGCATTTCAAGTGTTGCCTCACAACGAAACCAGCCGCAGAGAAAGGTAGGCACTTGACTTTTGGCATTCTAACACATTAACAAGTCTTGGATGGCTTTGAATTGTATAGATTTTTTTATAATTCGCATTAAAACTTATGTAGGATTTAAATTGTCCTTCGACGCACTAAATGTGTTTTAAGAATATAGAGAAAACCAGTGTTTTCAATACAAGTGTTTGGGGGCTAAGGAGTTGTTTTTCCTCCAGGAAAAAATATTTAAAATTCGTCTGCTACGTTGTCGAAGAAAATATTTGTCAAAAATTATTGATTGTTCTAATATTGTTAAAATGTTTTTGTGTTCACAATGTCAAGTTGTGTATTTCACTACAGTATGTCCAAATATATATTATGGCAATTACAATTAAAATTATTGTGTTGGCAAGAAGATCGTCTAAATAACGGTAACATTTGTTACTACTTCATGTGATAGCAAAACTAGATGTTAACCATTTTTTGGAGCTAACTTATAATGGTTCACCAACCATGATGGCTTCAAAATGGTTCGTGAATTGATGGTCAAATTAAGAACAAATTTCACGTGAAACAATTTTTTTAAAACCCTAACCCTGGGACAAAAATAGAAATTAATGCTTTTTATTCAATGATTGGTGTTCCTCCCTGTTTGGGCTCATAGTCAGATTTTCAGAACAACTGTCCTTTAAAATAATACCACCCACAAAACAACTTAAAAGCTAAAAATTGTTTACAACATTTTCAGTTCACTGGAGATATCAATAAGACAGAGTTCAAGAGTTTAGCCAACGGAATTTCAAAGCCAGAGGTTAAACTATGAGACTCTTTCGTACGGGACAGTGAGTGGCGCAAAATCACGATTATAAATTCAAATTTAAAATTCGCCTTTTGGTCGTATTTACCGTGGTAGATTCGAATTAATGGATTATGGGGGTAAAATAACAAGTATTCATACATGAAAGATAATGTTTTTATCTTTTAATTCATCAGAACTGAAACACCGTCTTCATATCGTAGGTGTAGGCGGGTAGAACATACTTCTGTACACATTTAAATGGTTACGTCTTTTTGCCTTTCTTGAGCCCCCTACTCTGAGGGAGGGCTCGTTTTTGTTGTAAGAGGGTTCAAAAAAAATTAAAGGGGTTAGTTTAGTTTAAATTAATATTTAAAATTTTATTAGTGAAAGTAGTTCGTCCAAAAGAACTAGCTTCGTGTTGGCTGTTTTCCTTGTCGTTTACCGGTTTTCAGACAGCGCGCATTCTTCTTATAGTGTTGAAATTCCCTTCTAAATGTTAATGTTTTTGATTTTTATTGGGTGAGGGGATAGTTTAGTAGTTCAACATTACCAAGAAAATGCTCTAAGAATAAGGTGGAGTACAATTATAAATGTAGGTTGAATAGGGATATTAAAAATATTTGGATATCAGATATCTATTAGGAATTACAGAACATTGTGGAGATATTTCTAGTTTTTTAATCAATTCAAAATGAGTACCTATGCCATAAATTTCAATTTAATCCCACACTTTATTACTTTTAAACCCTGATTTATCCTAAACCTTCCTGAATTCTTTAATTAATTCTCAACTTGTTCCGACACACGTAATTGAATTACAATCTACATTTTCCTAAGCAAAAAACTAATATAACCATGCATTTCCTTAAGTAAAGTACGGTATTTATTCATAAATTACCCCAAACAGTTCCTTCTTTATCCCAACACATCTCAAATTATCCCATATAGGGATAAAAATCCCCCTTGAAACACCTTTGTGAATTGGAGCGTTGCTGGTAGGACCAGACAGGACCCAGGACCTGTTCTTATTGGGCCAAGGCGGCACGAGATCAGCTGTTGAAATGCAAAGTGACGTCATCATCTCATCCTTGACCTATCAGCTGATCCCTAATCACGTGAGCTGCTTCAAGCCGTTGTCGTGTGTCAGTTTTTTTGGAGAGTTGAAATCGAAAAGTCATGTACAGAAGGTGGCGTTTGAGGAACATTCAAGTACAACTTCTCCACCAGAATTGTGGTCATGGAAGACCGGTTGGTTGTGTGATTTTTGTGGGTACAGTTCCTTGTGTAACCATGTGATAATTTTTTGAAACCGATAATGACGTTTTTCATGACTGATTTAAATCTTATAATATGAATATCTATATATTTAATACACAGTTGTAACACTGTTTTCTCAGTAATTACTGGACCGATCTACAAGATTTATGTCTCAAATTAAAGGGGATAGTGTGTAGATTTGCCGAACTTCATTAGAATTTACGTTTTTTCTAAGGGCTACGACCTACAGCCCTTTAAAAGTCAAGTCAATACAATTCTTATTGAAGAATATAATACACAGTTTATAAATTATTCGTCAGCTGTTTAATGTTTGTCAGACATTTGTTATTATTTTTATAACCTCACTTTCAGTATGCAATTATTAAACTTGGAGTTTCTGTTTGTAAACACACGATTTTGATCAAGGAAAGTGTATTTGTTAACTTATTTTTGAAACGTTTTAGTTTTCCTGCAAAGTAATCTGAAGGAAAGTGGTAATTGAGTTTAAGTTTGAGTATGGAATATGAAATAATACCCATAGTAGGGAACGGAAACTTATTGTTTTGATCAATATAATTTATTCTCTACGGCCACCAGAATAATCATGGGGAAATCCGCTAGCAAGTTGTACATATAATTGCTAATGAGTGGGAAACATACAAACATTTTATAGTAGGTGACGAATCTTACTCAAGATCAGTTTTAGACGTTCAGTGGTACCAAACTTTACCTTCTCGAGATGGCGAGTACGCTGGGATACGTGGAACTACAATATATCAGTGAATTTTTTTTTCAAGTACACAGGGAAGTTGCTTGAGAAACTGTGACTTACCATTTGGTTCTGGCGAAGAAGTATGTGACTTGGTGTTTAATGGCAATGTTGACTCGGGTCATTATAGCGTTATAAAACTTTATCATTAACCCCAGGGTGTGAAAAGTACAAAAAGAAAAAGAAAAGGTAATCATTAACCGGGCATAAAGAGATATAGGTACCGAACGAAAAAAAAAATGTAGAGAACCACCGAACTAAAAATGTAAAGAGCAGTGTTTGTGTTAAATGTGCTCTGGAAGTCCCTACAAAAAATACCAACTCTTTTGAATTGGGGTCGTTAGATTGGATTTGTCACTACTTCAAATCTATGAATTTTGAGTCAGAACAGACTAACTGGGACACTAAAAATTTTTTAGTTTTCCTGCAAAGTGATCTGAAGGAAAGTGGTAATTGAGTTTAAGTTTGAGTATGGAATGCGAAATAATACCCATAGTAGGGGACGGAAACTTATTGTTTTGATCAATATAATTTATTCTCTATAGCTACCAGAACAATCATAGGGAAATCCGCTTGCAAGTTGTACAGATAATTGCTAATAATTGGTAAACATACAAACATTTTATCGTAAGTGATTAGGTCTAATCTTACTCAAGATCAGTGTTCGACGTCCAAATTTTACCTTCTCGAGATGGTGAGTACGCTGGGATATTTGGAACTACAATTTATCAGTGAACTATACCCTAACTATATTTTTTCGAGTAGGCCTACACAGGGAAGTTGCATGAGAAACTGTGACTTACGATTTTGGTTCTGGCGAAGAAGTATCTGACTTGATGTTTAATGGCAATGTTGACTCGGGTCATTATAGTGTTATAAAACTTTATCATTAACCCCAGGATGTGAAAAGTACAAAAAGAAAAGGTAATCATTAACCGGGCGTAAAGAGACATGCAGAACGAAAAAAACATGTAGGGAACCATCGAACTAAAAAGGTAAAGAGCAGTGATTGTGTTAAATGTGCTCTGGAAGTCCCTTCTAAAAAATACCAATTTTTTTTAAATTGGGGTCGTTAGATTGGATTTGTCAGTACTGCAAATCTATGAATTTTGAGTCAGAACAGACTAACTGGGACACAAATATTTTTCCTTATGTTGTCACAAGGAGAAGGTAAAATGAACTCCTTATCAACATTGTGAGTTTATGGAAAATCTTATCAACAGCGACTATAAAAAAGTATTAAGGGACAAAAAAGACAAAAAACTATTTGAGTAAAATATAATACAAATCTGCATTTGAAATGGCCAGTTCTAAGTCTCACTTGAATCAACATCTTTCTGGTAGTGGTAGTCTACATAGTTTTAAAATCCACGACTCTTTTTCCATCAAATTGGTCCGTTAATCCCCTCTAATATTGAACAAAGTATGCCCAACTTTCAACTTTATATATACGACGTAAACACAGCTTTTACTCACAGTATGGGTCAAAGATTCGTGAAATGCGACCAACTGCTGATGCGTGATTTACATGTAGGCTAAGTGACTATCTTTATTCCATACAACAAATGTAACGAAAAAAACGACGAATATAGGAATATACTTGAGCAAATTATCTAAATAGCATAAATAGCTGCTTATTAGGTTATCAGCATTGCCCAGTTCGTATACTATTTATTTTTCAAATGAAACTCGAATTAATAGAAATCATTCATTTGGTTAAAATAATATTTCGGTTTGATTAACATAAAATAGTTTATACAGGCAAAATATCAGTTCTATTTCATGTAAAAAATTAAACAACCCCTAAATAAAATACAAAGATAAACAGTATTTGTTAATTATTATTTCTTTTATTGCTGACAATATTCCCGTGGCGGAGCACGGGCGGTTAACTAGTACATACTACATAGACCTACGGTTTGTTGGTCACACTTAATTATTCTGATTCTATACAATTAAGTAATAAACATAGGAAGTATTTTTTCTAAAAAAGTTTGACAGTAATTTTGACAAGGGTGGTTCAAAATTGCTTCATCTTATCATTGAAAAGCAAAATGTCTGTTCCTAATAAATTTAGGAAAAAGAAGAGGTTAAACTGTTGGAAATTATGAATCTTGCATAAAGATATGGCTGTTCTAGATATTTTGTTTATTTTAATAATTATTGTTAATATTATTATTATTACCGATCGGAAATTATGCATTTTGCATAAAAATATGCTGTTCTAGATATTTTTATAATTATTGTTAATATTATTATTATTACCAATCGAGATGGTATCACCACATGGAGAGATAGGTATAACTAAAAAAGAAGGTATACAAATGTATTAAACATTTAAACATAGACAAGACGCTACCAAGATTCTTCCATCCTCGAAACTATGATAAGAAAATAGTGTTTCAATCCTAAAGAACATTCTAGACATAGATCAAGGCATTGCAGTCTGAAAATATGTCAATTTGCTGAAGCCCGTAATATACATATTATTGAAACACATTATGGCTGTTTTATAAAAAGATGAAGACAATGTACCTACTTTGTATGGTCGCCATTTCATTGAAAAGTATTAAGTATTAATGTGGATAAACAAAGTAGAATAATCTTCAAGTGCTGAATGCTAAAGCTTTAGTTGGAATGTGAATGAGGGCCAAACAAAGCTGGAATTTCTCGTAAATTTACTATATCATGACCTAGATGAAGATGTAGACTGTTGAACAGGGGGTAGGTTGGTTCCGCATTTGCTACCTACACTAATCCGGGTCCCGTAGGGTGGGTTATAATCTGGTAGGTCAGTTCCGCATTTGACGGCTTCAACAATAGATCTCTTGAAATTGTAAAGATAAGTGAAGCGTACAAAAATGCCAGTCAACCGAAATAATCCATAAAAATAAGCAAGTTCTGAATGAGTTAAAGTTGAAGTAGCATGTTCCAGTTGTAACGATTTCTCTAGTTTTTTACCATAGCTGATGCAGATATTTCTTTCACCGATCCCAATCTTAAAGGGCGAAGATTATTATTGATTATTATTATATTGAAGATTATTATCCCAATCATTATTGCGAAGCCGCAATCTTAAAACTAAAAAAATCACATTACACCAGCTGCTGCTTAAATACGCTTATGTTACAAAATGCTAGTAGCTCAGTTGGTAAACTAAACCTATCACAGGAAAAACTTTAAACTTTGTAAGCATCTTATAACAAATTAAAAATATAAAACAAAACTAGTGTACCTGTTGCTCGAAATCGAGCAGTTGTCTAGTACCGGCACTACAGAAGCTATATTAAAACTAGTAGTCATAATTTTCTATGAGTTTAAAAGACCCTATTAAAAGCGTATGCAACTAATGGAAATACATACGCATAGATACGCACAGATACGCATAGATACGCATGGATAATAACAGTTATAATAAACACGTCTTGTAAATACTGACAACAAACTAAATATGTTCTCTGCTGTATTCCCTGTAGTAAACAATGCGGTGTAATATTTCTAGGAATTCCCAAAAAAATATTTCCTAAAATATGGGAATCGGGGGAAGAGAGTATTTGTAGTCCGCGAGGATGGTATGTGGCTGCAATCACTTGGAGAATTCAAGCATCTAGACCGCGTGCTATTCTGTGTGTTCATAGATTTTTTACATAACTATTATCACAACTAATCATAGTGTGTACGGTATCTGTGCAGTATTATTACTAAATAGTCAAATCAGTATTATTACTAAGATCAATTTTGTTAACATTTATGAAACAGGTGATTTTCTTACATCCTAAACCTAAAATATGTAGAGTTTGTATCATAAATATTCCGAATTTCGAATCGGATACAAGCGTATCCAATCTTTGGATATTTAACTTAAATTTGTTCAATATTCATTCTACGTCGGCTTTTAGTGAGGCTAATTACCCTTGTCTAATGGAGTGTAACCCACCTTTGTCAATATAAATGCGGAAATAACCTACCTACTTAAGGGGCCCACCAGATTCAAATGCGGAACGAACCTACCCATTTATGGCCCTAGGGTCATTATCTGCGGAACTAACCTACCACCGTTGAACAGTAGCAGAGGTTCGACTGATGAACCTGACACAGTTTGTAGTACGTCTTGCTCTAGATCAAGATTCTAAATACTATTTGGCCCAAGGAGGAGGTTTGATTGATGAAGCTGTCATTACTTGTCTCATGGTTGCAGATGAAGCTGAAGACTATCTGGCCGGAAGACGGAGCTAAAGTCCTGAAGGTTCTTGGGATGACAGAGGCTACGGTGAAGGCTGACGTAGCTTCGCTGAAAGATTGGCTGAGAAAGCAGCCTCACCTCGGACCACTCAGTGGAGGTTTGTGTACCATTTATTCATTGGAGAGTCAAAATATATTTTACCTACGACCGTTTTTTAAAGTAGCCGTTTCAGTACAGTTCTTAGAATTTAAAAGTATCTCATAACAGCATTGTTTACTTTCATAACAGCATAGTTTTACTCATAACAACACGGGTAACGGACCAATGAGGTTCAAGGATTGAGAGAGGAGAAGCAAAATTGTAATGATTCGAAATTCAAATAATCAGCTGTTCATGCCAATTTAATTGTTGATTGGTGCAATTAGTGAATTGGTGTTTGATTCCTTGCTTCACTGTCAGTGGCAATGAGAGGTTATAAACAAAAAACCTCTCTTAGAAGTTATGAGTAGTGATTTTTAGTAATTAAAACACCGTCGTAGGTAAAGTAGTGTACGCAACTCGCGTAAATAGTGTTAACGACACTCGTAGAATTTTTTAAGGCACTCACCAAGGCTCGTACCTTAAATTTTCTACTCTTGTCGTTAACACTATCTTTACGCAATCGTTGCGTAAACTACTATAATCTAATAGTTTAGCGTTTAAAAATGTTCTTTACACAGATTACTATGAAATTTGAACAAAAGAATGATGAAAATTAAAATTTAAACACACCCAACATTCAACCTGGATATATTACCAATATTAATAATTTACTATTATTGGCGTATTCATTATAAAATTGGATAGTTGTACCATAATTTACTATTCAACGTTTGACTTGTATAGAATAGTAATTTTTTGTGTAAATATACTTGAACAATAACACCTACCTACTTAACTTTCGCATATTATTTTAAATTTCACAATCGTTGAGCAGTGAATGAAGACAAGTGGTTGAAGAACTACTTAATGCTGAACAAGAACAGTGTAGAGAGATGCAAGGCTAACTTGGATGTTTACTTCACACTGAGGTGGATCATGCCTGAAGTGTTCCAAGACAGAGACATGAAATGTGACACGATGAACCGCAGCTTCGATAACACGTGAGTAACCTGCAGAGTAACTGATGTGAGTACTGACAGGGAACATCATGTAAGTATTGCAAGGGCATGTGAGTACAGAGAAGTTTACTGAGAGCGACACTCAAATACTGTGAGATTTACTTAGAACAATAGCCAAGTACTGTGATATTTATTGAGAACAAAACTTGAGTAGGTACTGCATGTACAAATGGGTAATTTGAAATAACCCATTGTTCAAAATCGAGCAAAACTTCAGCTTGTAATAACAGAAGAAGAACAAAAACAAAAGTTAACAATATATTTGTCACCATTTGTTTCCTGATTTACTGACCCACTTCCAATTCTGGTATCTCAATAATATGTGGATCAAAATCATTGTGAATAGGTAAAGATACACCACCAAGAACTTGTAAAGCATGCATACATTTGTTGTTAATTTGGGACCACTGCGGAATGATTTTCCACAGTTTTCTAAATAGTGGTCCACGATGAATATGGAAGAACCTGCAGCGTTTGTCGAAAGTCACCACAAAGTAGTTTCCCTTGAAAACATGCCATGGATCTTGAAATTGTAGATACCATGCATGGAACTCTCATCTAAATGAGCTTCGGAGCTGACCATGGCAAAGGCGGAATTTAATTGACAAATTTTATTCAAATAATATCCGGATCTAGGTCTTGCAGCCCTTTTTTAGATTGGGAGTTTCCAATAATTTCCTGAAAGTATGGTGAATTCCACAAATGAAGTAAACAAACCTTCCATTTATTGCAACAAAAATTAAACTGTCTCGGCCAGTCTTTATTTGCTTAAAATAAGCCACCACAATGTAAACATATAACTTTTATCAGTCCGAAGGTTGTATGTATCACCACGGTGGTCTAGTACTATCAATCTATCCGTCAAATGTTCCATTGGGAGGGTGATGCAAGCATCATTCATGTTCCCTCCGGCCACTTTAAGATCTTCGTCTTAGTAGCATTTAATTTTAAATTTAAATAAAACAAGAAAGTGTTAACCAAACAACAGAAAACAACACATTGTGAATTACATGATAAAATGGTAAAGTAACGGGCAAATGCATTGAAAATAAGCACTTTTAAATATTCACTAAATCACACCGAACTGTAACCAAAACTACATGATAATTCAGTAGAATATGATTAAAGGTAAATAAATTTAACTATTACAAACAATTTGTTGTCAAGTCCTGCTAATACAGTACTAATGAACCAGACTTAGTAAACAGATGTAAAAGAATTATAAATTCAGGCTTTGTTCTGGGAGTATTAAGTCCTTCAGTCTTTGATTAACCTTCTTCAGAACTATTTCAAACCATCTCTATATTAAGTTGTAAATAAAATAAATTTAGTCTGATCCAATGAAGACGGATAGCGCAACTGTTCCGAAACCTTGGCCCTTAACTGTACTTAAGTGATGCCCTTTCTTAATATTCTGAGACGTATTTGCACATCTACGTAAAAATACCTTTAATTTAACACATCAAACGTCAAAATCTATGAATGAAATACGTTTATTTCCATATAATGATACAGAAAGAAACATACTTTTTAATACAAAATATAATCACTCACTCACTCACTCACTCCCATGGCCATTTATGCCCAAGGCGGGATTTGGCCGCACCAACAACTGCTTTCCATCTCTCTCGATCTTCTGCCTCTTCCACTTCTGCCCCCACTTCTCTGACGTCCCTGGAAACACTATCCCACCATCTCTTCTTGGGCCTTCCTAATGGTCGTTTCCCTTCTGGCTTTCCTATACTTGCTTCTTTTAGTAGTGAACCTCGTTCTCTCCGTAGTGCGTGTCCTGCCCACCTTATTCTCCTTGCTTTCACGTGTGCTACTACATCATAATCATTGTACATATTCCTTATCTCCCTATTATGCCTTTTTCTCCATTCCCCATTTTCTTGTATTGGTCCATATACCATTCTTAAAATTTTGTTTTCAAAAACAATCATTTTGTTTTCTTCTTTTTTATTTAAAATCCAAGTTTCAGCTCCATATGTTAATACTGGTCGAATTATACTATGATATATTTTTATTTTCGTTTTATGTGAGAGAATCTTTGAAGTCAACAATTTCTTACAAGAATACATACATTTATTGGCCTGAGCAATCCTATAATATAATCACAATGACAAAATATAAACTAAGGCTAAGAATAAAAAAGAACATTTCTATTAATACAGATATAATAATTTGACGATTTTATGAAATTCAGCAGACATAGGCAGGTGCTGCCTGTGCGTCTGCTGGGTTGCTATTTAATAATTATCAGTAGGTTACCAAATCATAATGGAATTATTATAAAAAAGAGATTATATCTAGCCGCTTTCGAGTTATAACTGTGAAAAGAAATCCGCTTGCGTATTAATATATAGATTAATATTATTGTTTCCTATTAAAAAATAAAATACTAGAAAAGCACAGAAGATTTGTTTGTGAATTCACAGCTTTATTAAAACAAAGAACTAACATTAAAAACAAATCTAACAAATCATAGGTGTAAGTCCCTGGAGAAATTTATTAACTGAATATGTCAGGAGAAAATACTTTAAATGTAAGTTATCAATAATAACTTTATCAAAGAGAGTATCGATAAATAAGATGAGGGAAAAGGATGGCAATAAAGTTGAAGGGGAGAACGGCAATATGTTGGTGACAAAACCACCTCTCTTGACCAAAACTATTGGGCGGAGAAGAGGGTGGGCGATAAAACTCACCCTTGGGGAGATCAAAACCCTTCATGGGAATGCCTTCCATCACCAATCTTACCTAAAAAAGAAACAAATATTTTAGATATAAAATTGGTAAAACACATAAAAAGTTTGCCTGTATATTTTGTGGTTGATTTAATTTGTGTGGCTGCAAATATGGTTTGATTTTTATTTGAAATTGATAAAAAACTAACTGTTGGCTGTCTTAAGGTGGATTTTTCTGTGCCACATAGGAAAGTTGGAAAGTTTTAATTTGATACTAAATAGATGTAATAAATGAAGTGGGTCTAAGAGTCACATACTATAAATGAAAAAAAATCACCTCTTTAATTTCATTTAAAGCAATACGCTTCTGCATACAGTCTACTTTTGACAATTCAACTGTTAGTAGCTAAAATCTAGTACATAGGGCAGAGTAAAAACTTATTTAATCTAAATACGGATAGCGAATTCAAAAAATTCTTGAATATAAAAAACTGCTCAATTATCAAGGAACAAAAACTAAAGATAAATGGGATTTTACATTATACTCCAGCATAAAACTTATTTGTTCAAAACCTATAGAAAAAATTAAAACTTTCTCAATTAACGTAATATATTGCTCAAATTGTATTAGTAGGTGTTTCAAGCTGTTTTTAAAGTAAACTAACCTTTTGCTTATTTCAATACTCTTGGTAAATCACAGTGGTTCGCTTCTGTTGTAAAATTTGAACTTTCAAGAGTCAAGTAACTATTTGCATTTCCACCGAGTATAATTTTACTTCTCCGCAGATGCATTGCGTTCATGCCCGGCCTGACAGCGGAGGGCCACAGAGTGGTTGTTTACTCCCATTTCACACCCGACCCAACAGACTTTGTCCTGCAAGACATGGCTCGTCGCCTCTTGGCCATCGCGGACCTCGGAATGTGTGAGGGAGTCGACCGAGCCGGGGACATCATCATCATGGACCTCCTCCACACTCGAGTGGCTCATCTTGCCAAGTACAGCTTGAACATGGTCCGCAACATGTTCCAGTACGCTTGGGTGAGTCGGTGATAATTTCAAGTATAAAGATTCAACGTTCAGACCAAAGGGAAAGGGCTATTTAGAAGGATTAAGCTAGCGATGGTGACATCTTGTTATAAAATATAATGAATATAGTATATAGTATATAATGAATATTGTTATATATAGAGAAACAATGTCTTACACAGTGTATCACACAAACAATACTGGCTATCTCAGCATAAGGAGTAAGGCCCAAGCTCAAGCATTGTAGTTTTTAAGGTTGAATTTTAGGTTCCAGCACAATTAGGTTACAGCTTTAAACTAAGTGAAGGTTACAATTGATGGAATATTTTTAATTTTGTATTTTTGAAACCATTTTCATTTTTGAGGTTTTATTGGGGGCTGGTCCAAACCCTGGTCCCTGGTATCTAATACTGAAATTTTGTTAGGTAACATTAATATACCAGTGGAAAATGTAATCTGAATCCAGAATCAACCGATCAATAAAACATGCATAACCACTTTTTTTTAAGTAATAAAACCAAAACAGTTTTGACTGATTGCTAACACTTTAACCACAAAGCTACCCAGATAATCCGGTTATTAGTTATTCCATATCAACCTTTTTAATATTTAATTGTTTTCATAGCCAAAGACATTTTATACCCTAACAGAAACGTTGCGCTTACTCTACAGTTAGAATGCATGGAAATTATTTTAATTGTGTGTTGAAGGATTCCAATGACTGCGTCTTGTTACAGAAAGCTTACCCGGAGCGTGTCGCCGCCATCCACATTGTGAACCCACCCCACGTCATGGAGATGGCGCTAAATATCTTCAGACCATTCGTCAAACAGAAGATATTTGATAGGGTAACAACCAAACACCTCTAACTGTATTGCATGTTTGAGTCTGTGTAGTCTGTTGTGAAGAGAATGATATATTCATTTGTTACGGCTGTAGCCAGAAGCTTGGTTCAATCGATTTATAGTTGGTCAAACTAAATCAGTACCAAACAGCAGCACAATCTATCTGAAGTTCAACTAAACTGTGTTCACTTTTATTTCAGTATCCTATACTCTAATACGAGCAATGTTTGCTTGTATGTATGCTTGCTTGCTTGCTTGCTTGCAGAAAGATCTCGAAAACGGCTCCGACGATTTTCTTCAAATCTTGTAAATAGTTTATTTTTGGCCTAAAAACAAGTTTCATGCAGTTAGAACTGCCAACAAAAATCTAATTACGTAGAAAAACGAAACTGAAAGTCACATTTTTTTAACATTAGTCTTATGGGTTGCTAAGTAACCATGTTGGTTGAATTAAATAACAAGGAAAAGGTAAACAAAAGACTTGAAGTTGTAGCACGTGTTCATAATAAACCAACTACCCACAGTATACTAGCGAATTACAAATACAGTACAAAAGGAAAAACATCACTTGTTAATATTGAGCAAAGATTATACCAAAGATTGATTATACTTAAGATTACTCGAGACATTGTAGTCAAGGGTAGCAGTGCGAAGTCTAGGATCTGTTTATGACGAATACATTAAGGTATCTGCAATCCTAAAATGCTATGGGAAGGGAAGGAAACAGGTTCGTGACGTAGGAAGTAGTGAAGGAAGTAGTAAAGGCAATCATAAAATGCTATGGGAATAGAGGGAAACAGGTCCGTGACGTAGGAAGTGATGAAGGAAGTAGTAAATGCGAGCAGTCCGGAGTGTGGGGACTGTTTATGACGATAAGATTAGGGTATCTGCAATCCTAAAATGCTATGGGAAGGGAGGGAAACAGGTCCGTGACGTAGGAAGTGGTGAAGGAAGAAGTAAAGGCGAGCAGTCTGGAGTGTGAAAACGGTTTATGACGATTAGATTAAGGAATCTGCAATCCTAAAATCCTATGGGAAGGGATAGGAAGAGGTCCATGACGTAGGAAGTGGTGAAGGAAGTAGTAAAGGCGAGCGGTCTGGAGTGTAAAAACTGTTTATGACGATTAGATTAAGGAATCTGCAATCCTAAAATGCTATGGGAAGGGGGGGAAACAGGTTTACGACGTAGGAAGTGGTGATGGAAGTAATAAAGATGAGCAGTCTGGAGTGTGGGAACTGTTAATAACGATTAGATTAAGGTATCTACAATCCTAAAATGCTATGGCAATGGAGGGAATCAGGTCTGCGACGTAGGAAGTGGTGAAGGGAGTAGTAAAGGCGAGCAGTCTGGAGTGTGGAAACTGTTTATGACGATTAGATTAAGGAATCTACAATCCTAAAATCCTATGGGAAGGGATGGAAAGAGGTCTGCGACATAGGAAGTGGTGAAGGATGTAGTAAAGGTAAGCAAAATATGGAGCGTGGGAATTGTTAATAACGATTAGATCAAGTTATCTACAATCCTAAAATGCTATGGGAATGGAGGGAAACAGGTCCGCGACGTAGGAAGTGGTAAAGGTAGGTAGTCAAGGCGAGCTGTCCGGAGTGTTGGAACTGTTTATGACGATTAGATTAAGGAATCTGCAATCCTAAAATGCCGTTGGAAGGGAGAGAAACAGGTCCGCGACATAGGAAGTGGTGAAGGAAGTAGTAATGCTAGCAGTTCAGAGTGTGGGAACTGTCTGTGGCATTTATGTATCTGCAATTCTAAAATGGTATAGGGAAGGAGGGCAAACAAGTCCACGACGTAGGGAGTGGTGAAGTAAGTAGTGAAGGTGAGCAGTGTGGAGATTGGGAGTTGATTAATGTATCTGCAATACTTTTCAGAGTAAACTAATATTTTCCCCGAGCAAAGCTCGGTCCCCAGGTACTTTGCTATAATATTGAAATGAATATGAAATTTTAGTTCCATCGCTAGCGGTTTTCAAAGTTATACTGTCTTAATTTTGAAGCCACCGTTTAAATTCTTAGGTGCTCAAATAAACACCTATGTAGAGCCTATAAGTCTCACTTTCCAAAACAAAATTGTCAGAAATTATGTCTTTATTAAGAAACTCTAAGATTTTACAGAACATGAGTTCGAAAATTCAGACACATTTAAGAAGTCAAAGGTTATAAACTTGTTTCCTGGTAAACCCAGTATTTATCTCAGTTACCATCATTAGGAAAGATAAAATATACAGTTTTACGAATAGTTATTACATATTTCAGATCCAAATCCACAGCAATATTGAATGTCTGAAGGAACATATATCTCTAGATCTTCTACCTTCTGACTACGGTGGCCATGGTCCTTCATGTAAGGAGATGAACAGTAAGTTGAAATATTCATTGAGACAAAAACAGTTGTCTCTTGCTCCTTAGCCTTACTAGTAGGTAGTAAAAAAAAGTCATAGCTGAAGTTTGAAAGTAATTACTCATTCTTGGTCAGATTCACAGAGGTAACAGGATAAAAGGTAAAGCAAATGAACATTTGAGATACTGAGGTAAGGAGAAATACATTTTTGCCCTGCAGTTTGGACCATTTATTGGATTGAAAAACCACTCTTTGATTGAAAAACATTCTTTCGATTGTACTGAGATGAGAAAGAAATTATTGTACTAAATTATTTTGTTTTCAATTATCTAAAAAATCTCCGATTATTTATTTTTTTATTACAGAAGCTTGGCAAAACAAGATGATTGACTGCAGGGATCTTCTAAATACTGTAGCGTCCCACAAATCCAACGAAAGTTTACGACCTGACGTTCGAAAACATGTTGACTCCTGGACAACTGACCTCGGGATGAACGGATCATTCCGGAAACTTAGTCTGGACTGAGGCAGAGGTGACAACTGAAGAAAAATCCTCCCAAAAAAAGACTTCATTCTCATTCTAATTACTTTGAAGACAGCTCAGGACAAGCTTTGAGTATATTTAAGAGCGGAGACAAGACAAACTTTAAGCACAATATGAATGCAAGATGAGTGCAGAATGGAGTGAGATGAACTGTGTAGTCTTTATACTGATTAAGATCAGCTGTTTATTTAGTCGAGGACCATTTATTAAAAGCCCAAAGATCAAGCAGTGCTGGATCCAGTTTTGAACCATCTAAAAGCTATTTATCAGGATCAAAATGGGGAACTTTTGATTAATTAACTACCCATCAACCATTCAATTGAAACTTTTACACTTTGATAGAAACATTTGTTAAAACTGTAACACAATTTAAATATTTTGAATTTTGGTTAAAGCTTGGGTTTTCCTAGGTGCACAAGCGGTGTCCACTCTTCTCTTGTCTTAGGTAATTTAAAGTTTTCTAGAAGAAGAGTGAACTGCCACTGGACAAGATCACTTCTCCGCACTCCGCTTCCACGCCTAGCAAAACCCAGCTTAAGAGCATTTCTTAAACAAATCTCAGAATTCAAGCAAAACTAATTTTCAGTAGTACAATTGAATTAACTTATGTGTTAATGTAGCCTACATTTTATTAACATACATTCCGTATAGTACTGTAATAGTTATCAGTAAAATCTAAAAAAGTATTGAGTTTTAAAAATTTCCTATGAAGTGGAAAGAGTCCCATTAACTGACCCATATACTATATGCTACAACTAACCCATTAACTGTCCCATTAGACTGCTCAAGGCAGAGAGATTGTATTTGTTTGTTTTAAAAAATCCAACAAGACTGTTGAAGTTTTGAGCAATATTTTTATATACCATGTTCAATGTTGTTTTATATAACAATGTATAGTTTGGATGAGCTGAAGTAGAACATAGCGACCGCCATGAGTACTAAAATTATGTTTTTTTACATATTTTAAACTTGTGAGTCTTATACATATGTGCGGAAATAAATAAGTAGTTTTTTTACGCAGACACAGCCTATTCCCATTATACAATGGGTCAACGGCCAAGAAGATGGTAATAAGGTAATAAGGTAATGCTCAAAATAATAAAATTTAGAGATTATAAAATGTGTTGGTTTGGTATTGTTTCCAATTTCCTTCTCGATGGAAACTGAACCTTAAAACCTATAAATAGTTTTTATTTTTATTGAAATCACAAAATAGCATAAGCCCTTTATGAAATAACCTTAGATTTAATAAATGAGAACTTAAAAACCATGACATTCGGTACTAATACTAGTATGTGATAGTTAACAATAACCATAGATTTTGTAATTGTTTGACAATAAATGATTTTTTATTTATTTGATGATGTATTTTCTCGTTTTACAATGATTATTGTTTTGTAAATATTCGAGTTAAAAAGTAAATATCAATTGAAATAGCGCTTTGATAATAACTATGAGTATAAATAAATAAGCATCATTGTGTTATTAATTATTAACATTAGATTAATTATTCAAGAGAGTAATATTAATCTGTGATATTCTAGAACTAGAAAAGGTATATTATGACAAATAAAAAATAATATGGTTGTATTTTTATCCGTTTCAACATAAAACACCTTCAACACAGCAAACCAGTAAATCATTTTACTTCCTAGTCTCTTTATTTTGCTAGTTGCTGCATTTTCAATTTGGGGAATCAATTAAGTGTTTTATATTCATACATTTTTAATTTTGTTAAACTAGTAACATCTGAATGGAATGCCTTATCTAGTTTATCCACAGCACAAATTTTCCCCACAGAAATTGAAAGTCTCATTCACAGATTGTACAGCTGATGCGATCTATCGGAGAAAGTGAGAACTAACCTACAACACACTCTAACGACGACCACGAGAACTACAAGGACGATATCCAGGTGGCGTTAGCGGTTCCGTCTGATGTCAGCTGTTATGCAATCAGCTGATCAGTGTTATGGTTAGGCAGGCGTAATCTATTCTCCAGTGAGCCTATTATAGTTTTTGTTAGTGTTGGTTTTGAATTGCGACTACCGTTGTGTTTTTTATCCTTCTCAGATGCTTATGTTGTTATAAATATACTTGTTTTGATTATAAATAAGTTTTTAAATAATTTGTTTGATTTATTAAAAAAAACTATGTAAAAGAATTTAATTAGATGGTTTGTGGTTTACATGAGAAAGAAATCGTTTTTTTAGATTTTAAGTTGACGAATTAATACTGTATGAATCAATCAAACTGTGAAATTGGAAATTGTTTTCAACACCTTCATATTTGCAATATTTTTGTATTGGTGTATCGCCGTTCGCAATAAATAAATAAATGGTTGTAAAAGAGGATACACCTCAACCATTGGAACGGGATGCCTACTTCTTCGTAGAGTATTCATACAAATGTTTATTTAGGAAACAGTATGTAATATTTTGAACCAATTCAAACTAATCCCAAGCAGTTCACTATTATATTATTCGTACAACCTATGCATTATATTGGTTATACTATACTAATAAGCATTACTCAATAGAATCGAGAAAATAAGCAGGAAAACGAAAAGAGAATAGGCCCTAAGCCACACTAATAAGCCCAAGTAAGAAAAATAAATATATAACAATCGGGAATAGATACCTGTAATTGAATTCACACTGAAAGCAAAATGATTCTTCCATTATCTGTTCCTTCAACCTAACAGACGGTAAAGGAATTGCCTTGAGAGTGTCCTTGAACTTAGCGTGAGAGGTCACTAACAGGGTCACGGAGAAAAAAGGCTCAGCTGACTTAAGAAAGTATCACCATAATGACGGCATGTGCTGCTATGTTTTGCTATATTTGGATATTCAATTATCTTATTCAAATCACGTTAGGGTTAGGTTAGGCAAGAACCGTGACTTAGCCGAATCTGACACGAGTTACAATAACAGACGAAAATAAAATTCCAATTTATTTCTTAAAAATATAGTATATTTCGTACCTAGAGCCGAAAATGAGATTTTGTCGGCTCGAGCGCTGCAAAACCATTTTGGTCCGTGGTACCATAGATTAAACATACTCTGAGTAGGCCTACGTTTAATCTATGGTGGTACAAACCGGGTACGAACGCACTATACCCTATTACCACTATTCACCACAATAATAATGCACACTGATAGTCAACACAACTGCAACTTTATGGTTATTATGTGAAGAAATAATTTTAGGAATCAGCAATAATAATAATAAATAGTTGCTAGGCAGCGGTGACAATAAAACAATTCTATTGCAATGCTATGGATACTGATTGTGTAGCCTATTTAATATGCATTCATGTTTTAAGAAGGTAAGCGGGCAGGTGATTTTGTGGCCCATGATGTAAAAAACTGCTCGGTCCCCAAATGATGATAGCTGGCATGGCTAGCAAAACGTAACTTTCAGCCACCAATTAACGTATGTAAAACAGCTAAAAACATCATAGTGTGGTGGAAAATATGTTTCTATGTTCAAATACGAGAAAATGCTGAATATTTATATGTGTAAACTATTTCTTATCCTTTAGTATTTAGTATTACATCCATCAAAGCGTTCAATCAAGCGACTACAATATCAAACATCCAACAAAGTCTTAACAACGGTTTGGCAATAAAAATATAGCATGACTGCACATAGTATGACTTACGTCACAGATCTAGAAAGCCGTGGTTTTTAGACTCAATCAGCTGTTGGATTGCAATGTTATATCTACAAAGCACAACAACAAAACATACAAGTTTTAAAAATGATCCTCTTACCTGGGGACATATTGCGAATGATTATCTTAATTTTATGTACCTTGATGACTTATGCAGTTTCTTATGTCGTGATTTTGGAGGCAATAAGTTATTGGTTTAACACAAAATTAAAATAAATTGTAAAGTGAAAGTGTAAACTAAAATGGTGAACCAAATGTGTGGAGTGCGCGATTCTTGTATCCGTAAAAATAAATTAGAAGACCGTAAAGTAGTTGGAAGAAAAAACATTTTTGGGAAAGTATTAAGAAATACCTAGAAATGTACGCGTTAAAAAATGTGGTAAACAAAAAAGCTAGTTAAAATAATACAAAAATGTTAGTATAGTTCAAATGTATGAAACTATTAGTTGAAAGACGGAAAAATAAAAAAAATCACTCGTCTAAATGTCTTGTCTGGAACCAATAAGTTTTGAAAATAATTTGGTCGATCGGAAAGCGTAGATTTATTAAACAATCAACAACATAATACAACATATATAAAAATAAACGGTATCAGCAATCTGACACATACATTCACCCATTAGCTTGTCAACAATCTTTAACATGGGTAAGCGGTGGGAGTACCTAATTTAAACTATATTTTATAGGGAGAACCACAAAGGTTTCTGCAAATGGGGGCTGCACTATTTTTTTTAGAATTATAAGGACCTAGAATTATAAGAAACATACCGTAACACCTCAAGTTTAATAAAAACCAGCTTTTTTCCTAAAAGACAATTTTTTTTTTAATGGGAAAACAACATAGTTCACAACAACTTTTGAAACATAATTTTTACGGAAATATGAATTGTACCATTTAATTCATAATTTAAAGGGCTCTAACACTAAGTTTTTAGTTGTCTTGAGACTGAGCTATATAACAAATCAACCGTATCCCTCGTGAACAGGACTATCTCAACATTTAGTAGTGCCTGGAGATGACCAAGGTCATTGAGACTGAGCTGTGTAACACCACAGCTGTATCCCTGGTGTACAGGACTGTCTCAACATTTAGTAGTGCCTGGAGATGACCAAGGTCATTGAGACTGAGCAGTGTGACACCACAGCTGCTGTATCCCTGGTGTACAGGTCTGTCTCAACATTTAGTAGTGCTTGGAGATGACCAAGGTCATTGAGACTGAGCAGTGTGACACCACAGCTGTATCCCTGGTGTACAGGACTGTCTCAACATTTAGTAGTGCTTGGAGATGACCAAGGTCATTGAGACTGAGCAGTGTGACACCACAGCTGCTGTATCCCTGGTGTACAGGACTGTCTCAACATTTAGTAGAGCTTGGAGATGACCAAGGTCATTGAGACTGAGCAGTGTGACACCACAGCTGTATCCCTGGTGTACAGGACTGTCTCAACATTTAGTAGTGCCTGGAGATGACCAAGGTCATTGAGACTGAGCTGTGTAACACCACAGCTGTATCCCTGGTGTACAGGACTGTCTCAACATTTAGTAGAGCTTGGAGATGACCAAGGTCATTGAGACTAAGCAGTGTGACACCACAGCTGTATCCCTGGTGTACAGGACTGTCTCAACATTTAGTAGTGCTTAGAGATGACCAAGGTCATTGAGACTGAACAGTGTGTCACCACAGCTGTATCCCTGGTGTACAGGACTGTCTCAACATTTAGTAGTGCTTAGAGATGACCAAGGTCATTGAGACTGAGCTATGTGACACCACAGCTGTATCCCTGGTGTACAGGACTGTCTCAACATTTAGTAGAGCTTGGAGATGACCAAGGTCATTGAGACTGAGCAGTGTGACACCACAGCTGTATCCCTGGTGTACAGGTCTGTCTCAACATATAGTAGTGGCTGGAGATGACCAAGGTCATTGAGACTGAGCTGTGTAACACCACAGCTGTATCCCTGGTGTACAGGACTGTCTCAACATTTAGTAGAGGCTGGAGATGATCAAGGTCATTGAGACTGAGCAGTGTGACACCACAGCTGTATCCCTGGTGTACAAGACTGTCTCAAAATTTAGTAGTGCCCGGAGATGACCAAGGTTATTGAGACTGAGCAGTGTGACACAACAGCTGTATCCCTGGTGTACAGGTCTGTCTCAACATTTAGTGGAGCTTGGAGATGACCAAGGTCATTGAGACTGAGCTGTGTAACACTTATCGTTGGCGTGAAAGGTCCGGGCTCGGGAGAAAGTACAGTTCTGTGCGAAGGAAGCACCTCACAGTGCTGGTGGTTCGGCCTTTTATTGATTACGAATTCGCATTTCGTAACTGATTCTCGTTCAAATATACATATTTTGGTTGGAATATGCCTGGAACCATTACGTATGTTCGAAAATCGTTGTGTACGCGGATGTGCTGCTTTTTAAATACATTTTAACGACGTAATCGTGAATCATAATCTTATTTTTACGTTTTCCTAATACTAAATGCAAAGATAAAGATATATTGTACCTATCTTCTTTTAGAATAAAGTAAAGTCAACCTTAACTAGTAAAGACTTAAGAGAAATTAAGCAGTATTTCAGAACCCATCCACTACTCATTGTTTGTAACGAGCCACCTATTTGAGAAATTCTGGACTAATATATTTTCAATAATAATAAACTTCTCGAATTCTAATCTACGCGACGCAACTGCTAAGTTCCCAATGACACATTCATATCTCAGCTGTTGAAAATATGGGCAATCC